GGTCCCTTAGGGCCTGGGAACATTTCTGCTTATTATTGGTTACTCCTCACCCAGGATGCTTTTCCATTGATTTTTAGAGTGAATGGAAGGGAGAGGCAGATACACACAGAGAGAAACATCCATGTGAGAGAGACACATCGATTGGTGCCTCCTGCCCGCACCCCATTCCAAGCCAGGAATTGAGCCTGCAACTGAGGAACGTGCCCTTGAGATGGATCCTTGATTCCATGAGCCAACGCTCTATCCACTGAGCCAAACCAGCTATGGTGAATCTTTTCTCATTAAAAATCTTGCTTTCTGAATATTTCAAGGAGCTTTTTCTGGGATGAGATTATGTATATGAGACCCGTTAATCCATTTATCCAAACATTTCAGTGAATGAGAGCAGGAGCAGGAGGTGGGGGGAGGGGGACAGAGAACGTGGTGGGATACGGTTTCCTTTTGTGGTGACGAAAATGAGGTTCTGGACCCAAACAGTGGGGAGGGTCCCACAGCATGTCCAAGGCACTTTGTGGCCTGAAACTGAACCCTTTAAAAAATAGTTAGGCCCTGGCTGCGTAGCCCACTTGGTTAGAGCACTGGGTCAGGGCACATACAATAACCAACCAATGGAGGCATAGATACCTGGACAGACAAATCTCTCTCTTTTTCACTCTCTCTTCTTATGCTTGGATGTGGATTAAAAAAAACGGAGTTCAAGTGGTGAATTGTAGGTTGTGCATTTTGCCACAATAACATAATATCTGTAGGAGTTTAATTCTCTTAGGGTTCTTTTTTAAAAAAAATATCTATTAATTTCAGGGAGTAAGGAAGAGGGAGTGAGAGACGGAAACATCAATGATGAGAGAGAACCATTGATTGGCTTCCTCCTGCACACACCCTACTGGGGATGGAGCCTGCAACTTGGGCATGTACCCCTGACCGGAATTGAAATTGGGACCCTACAGTCCGCAGGTGGACGCTCCATCGACTGAGCCAAACCAGCTAGGGCTCTCTTCAGGTTCTTTTTTGCTGTCCCTCGTCTGGATATTCCAAGCCAGGAATTGAGCCTGCAACTGAGGAACGTGCCCTTGAGATGGATCCTTGATTCCATGAGCCAACGCTCTATCCACTGCGCCAAACCAGCTATGGTGAACCTTTTCTCATTAAAAATCTTGCTTCCTGAATATTTCAAACAGCTTTTTCTGGGATGAGATTATGTATATGAGACCCGTTAATCCATTTATCCAAACAGATCAGTGAATGAGGGCAGCGCCAGGAGGTGGGGAGTGGGGGGCAGAGAACCTGGTGGGATAGCGTTTCCTTTTGTGGTGACAAAAATGAGGTTCTGGACCCAGACAGTGGGGAGGGTCCCACAGCATGTCCAAGGCACTTAGAGGCCCAAAACTGAACCCTTTAAAAAAGAGTTAGGCCCTGGCTTCGTAGCCCACTTGGTTAGAGCACCGGGTCAGGGCACACACAAGAATCAACCAATGGAGGCTTAGATACCTGGACAGACAAATCTCTCTCTTTTTCACTCTCTCTTCTTATGTTTGGATGAGGATTACAAAAACGGAGTTCAAGTGGTAAATTTCAGATTGTGCATTTTGCCACAATAAGACAATATCTATAGAAATTAATTCTCCTAGGGTTCTTTTGTGCTGTCCCTCGTCTGGAGCGAAGTAGAAAATGTTGGGGGACAATCATAGCTTAATATTTACAATGTATTAAATGCCATGGAAATCCAGGTTGTAAATATTTGTTTTCTGTATTTTCCTATAGAATCATGACCAAACAGTGATTTAAATTTACCAATGGAATTGCTGTATCTTATCTTTTTTTTTAAAATTGATAATGATGAGAGAGAGAGAGAGAGAGAGAGAGAGATTTGTTGTTGCACTTAGGATTGCATTCATTGGTTCACTCTTGTCTGTGCCATGACCAGACATGGAACCTGAAAACTTGGCCTAGGGGGACGATGCACTAAACAACTGAGCTACCCGGCCAGATCCCTGTATCTTGTCTTGAGGAGAAGCTAAACGCTGATTTTATTATTGAAATAGATTGTGGGGCTCAGCTGTTGAGTGTCGACCCATTAACCAATGTCTCTCTCCCTTCCTCTCTGTAAAAAATCAATAAAAGATATATTTTTTAAAAATCTTAAAAAAAAAAGAAAAGAGTAAGGAGTGTAATGTATGGGCTTGACGTAAAGGTGTGGTGGGTACACATAACGACAGACTTGGGAGTTGGGGGTGATGGGCTTGGCCCCAAGGAAGTCTAGGCAGAGCCACAAAACTGTGGTGTTAGGTAAGCTGGGGTCTAAGGTCAGGGAGATGGACAGGACGGGGGAAGGAGGGAAGGAGCTTGCCACCCCTGGCTTCAAACATGTTTAACCCCCCTTGGTTACCCACTGTCAGGGGCATAAAGTCTTCTTGCTGGAGGCGATTCCCACGAAAATTGATCTGGAGGGTGTGAGGCTGTTGCACTTAGGATTGCATTCATTGGTTCACTCTTGTCTGTGCCATGACCAGACATGGAACCTGAAAACTTGGCCTAGGGGGACGATGCACTAAACAACTGAGCTACCCGGCCAGATCCCTGTATCTTGTCTTGAGGAGAAGCTAAACGCTGATTTTATTATTGAAATAGATTGTGGGGCTCAGCTGTTGAGTGTCGACCCATTAACCAAAGGTCACTGGATTGTTTCCTGGTCAGGCACAGGCCCAGCTTTTAGGCTCAATGCCCATTGGGGGGCCTGCAGGTGTCAACTGATTGATATTTCTCTCTCTCCTCTTCATTCCTCTGTCTCTAAAATCAATGAAATAATTTTTTAAAGGAAGAATACTATAGGTTAACTTCCAGGGTATTCAATATGGGACCAGTGAGGGGTGTTTAGTATTGGGTGGATCAGCAGGTGAAACCCATCTCTTTCTCTCCTCTCTTTCCACCAGAACTGTGAACCTGTTACTGAGTCCATACCTCCAGTTGCTCTCCATCAGGAGCTGACTTCAGGCTGGGTTTGCTGCAGTCCAATCAGAGACGTTCCCAGGAATATGGCTACAGACCAGGCATTTTCCAATGGTCATGGGCACCCCCAGGGCAGCCTGTGCTGGGACCTGACCCCGGCCGGACCGCCCCAGGGAAACCTCACTGAAGAACAGCACTGGGACTCTGAGAGGTGGCACTTGCTCTTCAGAGTCTTCCAACACCCAAAGGACGCGGACCCCCTCCAGAGCGTGCACACAATGTCTGCGCTCCTCCATCGCTGGCTGACGACCGATGTGTTCACCAAGAAGCAGATCTTGGATAAGCTTCTGCTGGAGAAGTTCATGATCTGCATGCCCCCGGAGCTGCAGGTCTTGGTGAAGGAGAGGCGCGTGCAGAGCTGCGAGGAACTGAAGGTCTTGCTGAGAAATAAGAAGGAACCCAGGAAATGGGTGAGTGGGACCCTCATGATGGGCAAGGGGAAGGGAGGCCAGTAAATGTACACAGCGGCATTCTTTAATTTTCTGTGTTTTATTTTTTAAATATATTTGTGTTGATTTCAGAGAAGGAGGGAGAGAGAGAGAGAAAGACATCAATGATGAGAGAGAATCATTGATTGGCCCCTCCTGCATGCCTCTGCAGTAAGAATCCCCAGTGGTGTGCCCTGGCCTGGAATCAAATCGTGACCTCCTGGTTCATAGGTTGATGCTCAACCACTGAGCCATGGCGGCCAGGCCGCATTAGCATTCCTGAGTTGGACATCTGTGTACATTTGATCTCCGTCCTCAGGCTCACTTACCCAATGACCTCAGAATAACCTCAGGGGTGGGGAAACTGAGGCACAGACCAGGTGCAGGGATGGCACCTTTCACTCCAGGGAGCCTCTGCCAATGTTGGGAGGCATGTTTGGTTGCCACCATTTGGGAGGTTGCTATTTGATTGATTAAAACAATTCCTTTTTTGTAGAGAGAATGAGGGAGAGAGAGGGAAACATCCATGTGTTGTTCCACTGAAAGTGTGAGTGTTGAGTAGGACACATGCAAGGAGTAGGATACATCGGGGTCTTATCTTGTTTAATTTTCTCCCCACAGAAGGTTGTTATCTTCCAAGGGCAGAAGTATCTTGAGGAGAATTCCGATGTCCAGATGTCTGACGAGGAAGTTGGTGACACAGACCACGTGTTGGAATTGTCCATGAAGTACCAATCCCCCATTAGTAAGACGGGGGTACATCCTGGGAAGAGCCAGGAGGTCAACAGAGAGCCGGGGAACCAGCCAGGAACCAGTGACATAGTGTGGGGACAGGTGAGTATGTGTGATGCTCTGACCTGTGGGGACAGGTGGGAGCTGGTACTAGTGGATGTGGTGATCATAGCTGCTACAGCTGTGGGTTTGATTCCCAGTCAAGGGCACATACTTGGGCTGCAGGTTCCATTCCCTGTCCAGTTGGAGTGATTGCAGGAGTCAACCAGTCAATATGTGTCTCCCATTGATGTCTCTGTCTCTCCTTCTGCCTCTCTCTGTCTTTCTCTCTCACTCTCTCTTTCTCTTGCTCTGCTCTCTAAAAATCAATGGGAAAAATATCCTGGGGTGAGGATTAACAACAACAACAACAAAGGAGTGTAGGAGTGTAATGTATGAGCTTGAAGTAAAGGTGTGATGAGTCCACATAAGGACACACTTGGCAGTTGGGGCTTGGCCCCATGGCCCCAAGGAAGTCTAGGCAGGGCCACAAAACTGTGGTATTAGGTAAGCTGGGGTCTCAGGTCAGGGAGATGGACAGGACGGGGGAAGGAGGGATGGAGCTTGCCACCCCTGGCTTCAAACACGTTTAACCCCCCTTGGTTACCCACTGTCAGGGGCATAAAGTCTTCTTGCTGGAGGCGATTCCCACGAAAATTGATCTGGAGGGTGTGAGGCCCATGGAGAATTTGGTGAAGTTGGAGAAGGATGTGATGGAAGACAGGGAAGAGGCAGCAGTACTCACATCTCCAGAGCCTCCGCTTCCCAGCAGTCCTGGTGAGTTTGGAAACTGGGCTTGTAGAGCAATGATTATTGTGTCATAAATCAGCGAGCTAGATACAAGACGCCTTAATGAGCCAATTGGTTAGGAGTCTTTATGACATGCAGGCTCAGAGCAGAATATCTTTGTCAAATTCTGAGAAGACAAAGGAAAGGCTATTCCTTTTTTTTTAATATCCTTCTAGGTCTTTCTGTAAGTTATTTTTCCAGATAGCTTGTAATCTTGAGTACGAATCATATCTAACAAACACCTGGCATGGGAATATTATCAGTATCAGCTTCTCAGCCCCTCAGGTTCGATAGCTAGCTTGCCAGGTCAGACAGTTACGTTTATCTTTTCTATTATTTAAGCTAAAAAAACAATGTTAATTTACAGAATAACAGACCTTCTGAAAATGACAGAGTTGACTGACAGAACAAGGGACTCTCTGAAAATAGCAGAGCATTTCAAACAGCAGTTTCACAAAGTAGAGGTTACTATGCTCCATTATTGATGCCCATCTGCTAGGTCCCCACCTGGGCATCCAGCGTGGTCATCTACTGGGGACGGTTGGCTCTCAATGCCAAGCCTTCTCTATCACAGACTCTTGGGTGCCCTAAGGTCTAAATTCTCGGGTTTGTTGGTTGATGGGAATGTTTTACAACCTACATCGGCTTTGGTTCAAAGGCGTTTGGTAGTGTTAAAAGTGCTCTTTTAATAAAATATATACACTTATACTCATTTTTAGAGAGAGAGGAGGAGAGATGGAGACAAATAGAAACATGGATGATAGGGAAAATCATCAATTGGCTGCCTTCTGCCTGGCATCCACTGGGGATCGAGCCCCACAACCGGGGCATGTGCCCTGACAGGGAGTGGAGGTGGTGACCTCTTGGTTCCTGGGTGGGTGCTCAGTCCATGAGCTGAGCTGAAAGTGCTCTTTGATTAATGTTGTGTGTTGAATGCTTTCTTTCGAGGTTGCTATTTGATTGATTGATTAAAACAATAACTTTTTTATAGAGAATGAGGAAGGGGGAGAGAGGGAAACATCCATGTGTTGTTCCACTGAAAGTGTGAGTGTTGAGTAGGACACATGCAAGAAGTAGGATACATCCCGGGTCTTATCTTGTTTAATTTTCTCCCCACAGAAGGTTGTCGCATTCCAAGGGCAGAAGTATCTTGAGGAGAATTTTGATGTCCAGATGCCTGACGAAGAAGTTGGTGACACAGACCACGTGTTGGAATTGTCCATGAAGTACCAATCCCCCATTAGTAAGACGGGGGTACATCCTGGGAAGAGCCAGGAGGTCAACAGAGAGCCGGGGAACCAGCCAGGAACCAGTGACATAGTGTGGGGACAGGTGAGTATGTGTGATGCTCTGACCTGTGGGGACAGGTGGGAGCTGGTACTAGTGGATGTGGTGATCATAGCTGCTACAGCTGTGGGTTTGATTCCCAGTCAAGGGCACATACTTGGGCTGCAGGTTCCATTCCCAGCCCAGTTGGGGTGATTGCAGGAGTCAACCAATCAATATGTGTCTCCCATTGATGTCTCTGTCTCTCCTTCTGCCTCTCTCTGTCTTTCTCTCTCACTCTCTCTTTCTCTTGCTCTGCTCTCTAAAAATCAATGGGAAAAATATCCTGGGGTGAGGATTAACAACAACAAGAACAAAAAGTGTAAGGAGTGTAATGTATGAGCTTGAAGTAAAGGTGTGATGGGTCCACATAAGGATAGACTTGGGAGTTGGGGGTGATGGGCTTGGCCCCAAGGAAGTCTAGGCAGAGCCACAAAACTGTGGTGTTAGGTAAGCTGGGGTCTAAGGTCAGGGAGATGGACAGGACGGGGGAAGGAGGGAAGGAGCTTGCCACCCCTGGCTTCAAACATGTTTAACCCCCCTTGGTTACCCACTGTCAGGGGCATAAAGTCTTCTTGCTGGAGGCGATTCCCACGAAAATTGATCTGGAGGGTGTGAGGCCCATGGAGAATTTGGTGAAGTTGGAGAAGGATGTGATGGAAGACAGGGAAGAGGCAGCAGTACTCACATCTCCAGAGCCTCCGCTTCCCAGCAGTCCTGGTGAGTTTGGAAACTGGGCTTGTAGAGCAATGATTATTGTGTCATAAATCAGCGAGCTAGATACAAGACGCCTTAATGAGCCAATTGGTTAGGAGTCTTTATGACATGCAGGCTCAGAGCAGAATATCTTTGTCAAATTCTGAGAAGACAAAGGAAAGGCTATTCCTTTTTTTTTAATATCCTTCTAGGTCTTTCTGTAAGTTATTTTTCCAGATAGCTTGTAATCTTGAGTACGAATCATATCTAACAAACACCTGGCATGGGAATATTATCAGTATCAGCTTCTCAGCCCCTTAGGTTTGATAGCTAGCTTGCCAGGTCAGACAGTTACATTTATCTTTTCTATTTAAGCTAAAAAACAATGTTAATTTACAGAAAAACGTACCTTCTGAAAATGACAGAGTTGACTTACAGAACAAGGGACTCTCTGAAAATAGCAGAGCATTTCAAGCAGCAGTTTCACAAAATAGAGGTTACTATGCTTCATTATTGATGCCCCCTCTGCTGGGTCCCCACCTGGGCATCCAGCGTGGTCATCTACTGGGGACGGTTGGCTCTCAATGCCAAGCCTTCTCTATCACAGACTCTTGGGTGCCCTAAGGTCTAAATTCTCGGGTTTGTTGGTTGATGGGAATGTTTTACAACCTACATCGGCTTTGGTTCAAAGGCGTTTGGTAGTGTTAAAAGTGCTCTTTTAATAAAATATATACAATTGTAATTATTTTTAGAGAGAGAGGAGGAGAGATGGAGACAAATAGAAACATGGATGACAGGGAAAATCATCAATTGGCTGCCTTCTGCCTGGCATCCACTGGGGATCGAGCCCCACAACCGGGGCATGTGCCCTGACAGGGAGTGGAGGTGGTGACCTCTTGGTTCCTGGGTGGGTGCTCAGTCCATGAGCTGAGCTGAAAGTGCTCTTTGATTAATGTTGTGTGTTGAATGCTTTCTTTCAGGAGATTCGGGGAAGACAGAGGGGGAGCAGAACCCTCCGGAAGGAATTGGCCTGGAGTGTGTGGATGTCGGTGACATACCTCCCACCCAGGATCCAGAGACACAGGCTTTGAGTCAGCGTCCTAAGAGAAGAAGTTCTGGGAATTCAGGAGGTGCCACCAAGAGAAAAAAGGGCAACACTCCCACCCCTGGCAGAAGTATCTTGAGGAGAATTTTGATGTCCAGATGCCTGACGAAGAAGTTGGTGACACAGACCACGTGTTGGAATTGTCCATGAAGTACCAATCCCCCATTAGTAAGACGGGGGTACATCCTGGGAAGAGCCAGGAGGTCAACAGAGAGCCGGGGAACCAGCCAGGAACCAGTGACATAGTGTGGGGACAGGTGAGTATGTGTGATGCTCTGACCTGTGGGGACAGGTGGGAGCTGGTACTAGTGGATGTGGTGATCATAGCTGCTACAGCTGTGGGTTTGATTCCCAGTCAAGGGCACATACTTGGGCTGCAGGTTCCATTCCCAGCCCAGTTGGGGTGATTGCAGGAGTCAACCAATCAATATGTGTCTCCCATTGATGTCTCTGTCTCTCCTTCTGCATCTCTCTGTCTTTCTCTCTGTCTTTCTCACTCTCTCTTTCTCTTGCTCTACTCTCTCTCCACCTCCCTTCTTGCTGTCTAAAAATCAATGGGAAAAATATCCTGGGGTGAGGATTAACAACAACAAGAACAAAAAGTGTAAGGAGTGTAATGTATGAGCTTGAAGTAAAGGTGTGATGGGTCCACATAAGGATAGACTTGGGAGTTGGGGGTGATGGGCTTGGCCCCAAGGAAGTCTAGGCAGAGCCACAAAACTGTGGTGTTAGGTAAGCTGGGGTCTAAGGTCAGGGAGATGGACAGGACGGGGGAAGGAGGGAAGGAGCTTGCCACCCCTGGCTTCAAACATGTTTAACCCCCCTTGGTTACCCACTGTCAGGGGCATAAAGTCTTCTTGCTGGAGGCGATTCCCACGAAAATTGATCTGGAGGGTGTGAGGCCCATGGAGAATTTGGTGAAGTTGGAGAAGGATGTGATGGAAGACAGGGAAGAGGCAGCAGTACTCACATCTCCAGAGCCTCCGCTTCCCAGCAGTCCTGGTGAGTTTGGAAACTGGGCTTGTAGAGCAATGATTATTGTGTCATAAATCAGCGAGCTAGATACAAGACGCCTTAATGAGCCAATTGGTTAGGAGTCTTTATGACATGCAGGCTCAGAGCAGAATATCTTTGTCAAATTCTGAGAAGACAAAGGAAAGGCTATTCCTTTTTTTTTAATATCCTTCTAGGTCTTTCTGTAAGTTATTTTTCCAGACAGCTTGTAATCTTGAGTACAAATCATATCTAACAAACACCTGGCATGGGAATATTATCAGTATCAGCTTCTCAGCCCCTTAGGTTTGATAGCTAGCTTGCCAGGTCAGACAGTTACATTTATCTTTTCTATTTAAGCTAAAAAACAATGTTAATTTACAGAAAAACGTACCTTCTGAAAATGACAGAGTTGACTTACAGAACAAGGGACTCTCTGAAAATAGCAGAGCATTTCAAGCAGCAGTTTCACAAAATAGAGGTTACTATGCTTCATTATTGATGCCCCCTCTGCTGGGTCCCCACCTGGGCATCCAGCGTGGTCATCTACTGGGGACGGTTGGCTCTCAATGCCAAGCCTTCTCTATCACAGACTCTTGGGTGCCCTAAGGTCTAAATTCTCGGGTTTGTTGGTTGATGGGAATGTTTTACAACCTACATCGGCTTTGGTTCAAAGGCGTTTGGTAGTGTTAAAAGTGCTCTTTTAATAAAATATATACAATTGTAATTATTTTTAGAGAGAGAGGAGGAGAGATGGAGACAAATAGAAACATGGATGACAGGGAAAATCATCAATTGGCTGCCTTCTGCCTGGCATCCACTGGGGATCGAGCCCCACAACCGGGGCATGTGCCCTGACAGGGAGTGGAGGTGGTGACCTCTTGGTTCCTGGGTGGGTGCTCAGTCCATGAGCTGAGCTGAAAGTGCTCTTTGATTAATGTTGTGTGTTGAATGCTTTCTTTCAGGAGATTCGGGGAAGACAGAGGGGGAGCAGAACCCTCCGGAAGGAATTGGCCTGGAGTGTGTGGATGTCGGTGACATACCTCCCACCCAGGATCCAGAGACACAGGCTTTGAGTCAGCGTCCTAAGAGAAGAAGTTCTGGGAATTCAGGAGGTGCCACCAAGAGAAAAAAGGGCAACACTCCCACCCCTCAAGAGGAGCCTCAAGAAGGAGCCGTGTCGTTGGACAGAGGAGAAGTCACCAGATGGCACCGGTGCCATTCAGTGGGTGCGTCAAGCACCGTGGAGCCCACTGGTCACCCTGTTGGCAAGGAATCCAGGAGAAAGGTACCCTACGAGTGTCAAGACTGTAGCAAAAGGTTCAGCTACAGATCACAGTTAGACATTCACCAGAGGACACACACAGGAGAGAGACCCTTCCAATGCCTTGTGTGTCTCAAGGGGTTCATTCAGGCCTCGGACCTCCGTGTCCACCAGCGGATCCACACGGGGGAGAAGCCGTTCTTCTGTAAAGTCTGCGAGAAGAGGTTCACCCACAAGTCCACGCTGCGTAGCCACCAGCGGGTCCACACCCAGGACAATCCATACGAGTGTGATGTCTGCCACAAAAGTTTCCTCCACCGCGGGAACCTCAACGTGCACATGCGCACCCACTCGGGCCTGAGACCCTACCCGTGTCCCCATTGCCACCTGGCCTTCCGGAAAGACATCAATGATGAGAGAGAATCATTGATTGGCCCCTCCTGCATGCCTCTGCAGTAAGAATCAAGCCCACAACCCAGTGTTAATGTCCTGGCCTGGAATCAAGTCGTGACCTCCAGGTTCATAGGTAGATACTTAGGCACTGAGCCAATGGCGGCCAGGCCACAGTAGCATTCCTGAGATGGACATCTTCGGACATTTGATCTCCCGTCCTGAGGCTCACTATCCCAATGACCTCAGAATAACCTCAGGGGGTAGACTTGTCGGTTCTGCCTCACAGGTGGGGAAACTGAGGCACAGACCAGGTGCGGGACGGTGCTTTTCTCTGCAGAGAGCCTCTGCCAATGTTGGGAGACATGTTTGCTTGCCACCATTTGGGAGGTTGCTATTTGATTGATTGATTAAAACAATAACTTTTTTATAGAGAATGAGGAAGGGGGAGAGAGGGAAACATCCATGTGTTGTTCCACTGAAAGTGTGAGTGTTGAGTAGGACACATGCAAGAAGTAGGATACATCCCGGGTCTTATCTTGTTTAATTTTCTCCCCACAGAAGGTTGTCGCATTCCAAGGGCAGAAGTATCTTGAGGAGAATTTTGATGTCCAGATGCCTGACGAAGAAGTTGGTGACACAGACCACGTGTTGGAATTGTCCATGAAGTACCAATCCCCCATTAGTAAGACGGGGGTACATCCTGGGAAGAGCCAGAATGTCAACAGAGAGCCGGGGATCCAGCCAGGAACCAGTGACGTGGTGTGGGCACAGGTGAGTGTGTGATGCCCTGGTCTGTGGGGACAGGTGGGAGCTGGTACTAGTGGATGTGGTGATCATAGCTGCTACAGCTGTGGGTTTGATTCCCAGTCAAGGGCACATACTTGGGCTGCAGGTTCCATTCCCAGCCCAGTTGGGGTGATTGCAGGAGTCAACCAATCAATATGTGTCTCCCATTGATGTCTCTGTCTCTCCTTCTGCATCTCTCTGTCTTTCTCTCTGTCTTTCTCACTCTCTCTTTCTCTTGCTCTACTCTCTCTCCACCTCCCTTCTTGCTGTCTAAAAATCAATGGGAAAAATATCCTGGGGTGAGGATTAACAACAACAAGAACAAAAAGTGTAAGGAGTGTAATGTATGAGCTTGAAGTAAAGGTGTGATG